TCTCTTCTCCAGGGCAACTACGAGGACCCACGCGAGCCCCTGGGTGGATCGTGCAGACAAGTGGGACAAGCACAGCCAGCGGCGTCCCAGCACAGGCAAGACGCACGTGGTGGCAGTAAAGACAGCAGAGAGGTTTGCATCTTGGGGAGGCGGGTAGCTGAGAGGGGCAGACCTTGATCCAGACGCAGATGACGTGCAGGTGCACGTGCTAATATTCCATGGAATTATACGAGTGTGGGTACTCAGCGGTTATCTGTACCACTCCAGTTTTAAAAAAAACACACAAAAATAAACAGAGAAACAATCGGATCTGGGCGGGCTGGTGTCTTTTTAGCTGGGGAATAGTGGACAATCTCTTCTTGTTTCATGAACTTGAGGAAGAAAATGGGAAGTCTTCCAGAGGCCACGTCTGGAGAGATGAGCAAAAACAGAAGGTGTACTTCCCCTCAGGCAGCAGCCTGAAAAGCAGCCATCCTCCCAGCCCCCTCCAAGTCCCAAAGCTGGGAGGGGGGATTTCCAAAGATTGTTTAATTGATTTTTCTCCTATTTAGATGCAGATGATCATGTCTGGGGCCCAGGAATCCAGACACACGGCTTTGTGTCCACTCAGCCCCGTGAAGGCTCCGGTCTGAAACTCGCACAAAGCCAGACACACAAGTCTTCAGAAACACGCTGTTTCCTTTTTGTCTGGGGCTCCAGGGAGCGGGTGCTCTGAGCAAGGGCTCGGACATGCTCCCATCTGCAGGGTCCTGGGGACCCTGTCCCTGGGTGATAATTTTTTAAAAAGGTGCTAAGATTTTTGAGGTCTGGAGTAGGGGTGATAAAAAAAAGGTGGGGGTGCTCCAATTAGGGGTTGACCCATCAAAGTTTCAACTTGACATTTTCTCCAAATTCAGGGCTCTGGAGTGGAAAGCACACAATGCTTTAAATCAAGCAGCTAGTGGGCTAGGATTAACTGGAGTTTGGCTTCGGTCTCTGCAGATCTGATTTATATAAGGAGAAAATGTTTCTCTCTTTCTCTCTACCCATTGTTCCCTAGTCTGTCCCTCCAAATGCCCCCTCTGACAAAGAAACTGGAAGGCTCACTGGTTGACACCCTGCTCAGGACAGCAGGAAAGACGCCCCCACGCCCAATATACACAACTTTCTCTTTCCTCAGCTGCAAGGAGGTACCACCCCCCCGAGGCTAACACATCCCCTAATATCCCTGCCTGGTCCCCGCCAAAACACAGCTGGGGGGTAGGGCACTTCTGAGGCATTGCCATTCCAGTTTCCTGGCTGTGTGGCTTCAGATAATTCTCTCTGGGCCTCAGTTTCCTCATCTGTAAAGTGGGTGCAGGAATAACTGCTCGGAACCAGGCAGCTGTGAGGAAAATTCGGAGTGCTGGGCTGCAGCGAACACCTGGCCCAGAGCAGCGCTCAACACACGTACGCTACAGCGGTTGCCATCTGGGGAGATGTGTACATCAGACTGAAATATTTCATAGGGAGCGTCACAGGAATGCTCTCATTGTAGATTCCTCCTTTCTTTGGTGCCAAATGTTGCCAGGAGGAGCCCAGCTCCAAGAATGATGCCTACCCTTCATATCCGAGTTACCTGGACTGCAATCCAGCTGGCGTTCACGGTGTGCTCCCCAAAAGGACCAAACCCTAAAAAAACAAAACAGTGAAAGCAGCATGTCACCGCAGAGTGGCCCTTCTTAGTCTGCCGGGGCCAGGCTGTTGCCTCCGCCCAGAACAGAGCAGGGAGCTGCAGGAGCAGCTGCCCCCTGGGGCAATGGCGGGGGGGTTGGGGGGGCTGTCCTGAGTTCCGGGGCACACCCAGTG